CCTACAGTGAAGATCTGGTTGTGATTAAGTGTTTATGTGTCAAATGTAAGACGAAATTAATAGGGCCAAATTGTGTACTTCAATGAACTAGTATCGACCGATATCGGCTGAAAAGGACCGGAGGATCTGACGGGCCTGGCACACCACATCCAGCGTTAACCACCAACACCTTGGCTCGGAAGACGATGACAGCAGTTCGGGGCCTACCTAGGAGTGCTAGTGCTAGGATAGCCCTAAGATGGTGAGAACCCCCCCCCAGTATCACATAGTGATGTGAAAATTATACGAGAAAGTCTAACAGTTCGGAGTCATTATGAGGCAGTGTTGAACTGAGTTGAAATCAAATCAAATCTTTCTTGGTTAGTCTTAAATTGTGTTAACCCCAACCCTACATTTATATAATATAGATGATATATACTTTTTTCAGTAAACATAAAAAAAATTGTCTTTAAATTATATTTCTTCAACATTTTTTCTCTCAGTAGTTTATAACAATTTGTAAATATATTATTCAGAACAGAAACATAGTTATTGAAATTTCTGACCTAAAAGCAATTTATTTAAATGTATTTGATTGCCGACTTGTGTCCTGTTACAACACATCTTGTCCTTACATTTCTAATATGTTAGCAAGAATGTGCTTAAGCTAGTTTCAAAATTTGTATTACAATTTTGTTGTGGTAGGCTGTAATAGCGTAACAAATTATGACAAGACTATACATATTCTATTCTTACCTAATTACGCAAGCATTTTTTTTTAATGTTATATCAATAAATATCACATACTTATTATTAAAATTAAAGTCCTTAATGAGTTTTTTGTTTAAATTTCAAGTTTGCCTAGAGTAAAGTTAATCATTTTTGATATGATTTTAAATTATAATTGTTTTTAAATTTAAATGCCACATCATTAAATTGTAATATACCTAATTGTAATAAATATTGAAGCACTGATATGGAGGTGGAACGTGTTAGAGCATATTTTTATTTCAATTTATTTGGTTTTTTTTGCAGATTAAGTTATTTTCTATATCATTGTTGTCACAAATTTAAAATGCCAAAAATAAAATAGCCATATCAGCATTAACCTATAAGCTTTTTTTTAATTCAGTTATGTTTATAATATTTTTTTAGGTAAATACATTTTTTTTTTACATTGTAGTAGTTATTAAATTCCAGTAACTGGGTTCTGTTCTCTTGGCTTTTTGCCTGTGATGTCAGACATCAATTTTCTTATCGTATAACAGCCTCAATTAAAATAATTTTATATTCATACATATTTGGTTGCAGCTAAATTATTTGGTTTAATCAATGGATTATTAACCTGTGAAAATTCAACTAAATGGTTGGTTATTTGATTCAAATGATATGTAACGTGGTTGTTTACACATAAATAACACCAGAAAGATTCCTCTGATATATTGCAACAAACAAATCAATAATTCTGCGGAGGAATCTGTTAATACTTTAAGACAAAACTACTTCGTCTGTTTCCTAATAGTCGTGGTATCCTTGGAATGTTTTAACAAATTTTTTAATTTAAAAATCATCAGACTCTCACTATTGTTTGTCAAAAAGCTGCAACCTACAATTATTTATAAATATTTTATCATAATTATATATATTTATATTTTATATATAATATATTGTATAAATATATGATAATTTGAAAACTACCTTCTTACAACCTGTTTTCTTTTTTTTCACTTTTTTTAAAATTTTTATATTTTGTACAATATCATAGTATATTAAATATTAAAGCTTCATTTAGTCGACTTTTATTTAAAATGTGACTTTTGTTCTGAGGTCAAAACACCTCTAAAATTCCCTCCAGTTTGACTGAAGAATGCACTACTTGTTTTACCATGTGTACACCCTGCTTTACTAAATCGGCTTGCTGCTATTCTTCGACTCGCTTTATTGTATTATTGTACAATTCATTCCATATTTATAATGTCAGAAATAAGAACATAACATCAATTCCTACTCGAAAAAACTTTGTTAATCCCAATAAAATATTAATATAAAACAAACTTGAGTTATTGTAGAAAAGTTTATACATAAATAAAATAGATAATTTATTGATAAAAAACATATTGTTTTCGTCGCCGTTGGAAACTCAATAAATTGTGAGATTTCCTCCTGGGCTCTGCATAGCGATGAACCTGTAATTTGATCCTTATTTTCTGTATCTCGGTTGCTGGGTTGGTCTGCCAGATGCATTTCGCCATTTCACTATGTCCCCCCCCCCAAAAAAAAAGTATAGGGTATTAGATAGATAAACAGATGATAAGATGATAGAATGATTCATACTTAGATTGAAAGATAGGATAGATAGAGAGAAAGATAATAGATTGATAGGATAGACAGAGAAAGATAATGGTTAGGTAGGTAGATAGAGAAAAAATATGAAAGAAAGAAGGGAAAAAAGAGAAAGAGATAAAGGGAGAGGGAGTAGGTGAATGAGGGAGAGTGAGAAAGAGAAAGAAAAAATAAGCAAGAAAGGAGGGAAGAAAGAGAAAGATATAATGGGAGAGGGAGTAGGTGAATGAGGGAGAGTGAGAAAGAGAAAGAAAAAATAAGAAAGAAAGAGGGGAAGAAAGTGAAAGAGATGAAGGGAGAGGGAGTAGGTGAATGAGGGAGAGTGAGAAAGAGAAAGAAAAAGTGCGAGTAGGAAAGATAAAGAAAGAATGAGATAATACAGGGAAAAAGAGAAAGAGTGTATTTATTGTACACAAAATAGGTTATGTACTTATGAATGATAAAGGAAACTAATTACTGTCAAACAGGAGGGCTTAACTTCCAACTACCACTTGTGTGTTGCGGAAGAGGGGTCAAACCACTCTAAAATACTTTCTCCATATTATTCACAATTAAAATCACAGACTAAACAGGACCGCTAGTTTGGCAAATACAAACCGGATGGCCTAACCTCTCTGTTCATCCACATTTTTGACCATTATCTGTTCACAATCTGTGAGATTTCTCAGTGTAGAAGATGGCGAAATGCCGAAGTGCAACTGACAGACCTACCCATCAATGTACAAAGAACGAACTGATCGATAAGGATCAAATTGCATATTTATTACTTTAATCAAATGAATTCACTTATATAAAATTATTTTTTGTATCAAGAACATTTTCAACACATAAAGTTTAAATAATTTAAACGTTCTTATGTAAGAAAAGAGCAATTATTTAATATATACAACAAGAATATGGTCCACTCATGTATTTTTTTTTTTAATTTCAATTTTCATAAATTTGGACGGGCTTTGAGAAAGTTAAAAAATATTGCAATGTGATTAAATGAAAAGGCTCTCATAAACTTCTTTTCAAGCAAAGTAATTATCCATTTTCAATACATATTTAATCCATTAATAACATTTTAATACAGTCGTTTTTAACATATCGAAAGCTTCAACGTACTATATCTTTAATTTCTCGACATCACATGTAATATTTATTTTATGAATTAAAATTCAACTTTCGCAATAATTGATCAGAGCCTTAACAGTTGATATTATGCAATAATAAACTCTTTATCATTAGACATATATTACAGTACACAAATTTTGAGTATTATAAGTATTATTAATAGTAGTAGAGATAAATCACAATTAATTTAAAAGGATGCCTATATACATTTGTGGATTTGCTCATGTAAACATTTACACCAAATTAAAAAGTTTTTTTTTTTGTTAATGAGTTTTTGTAAAAAGTAATAGGACTACTGCATCTCTATTTTTATAAGACAAGGTGTACACCGGTTTATTACAGTTTTATACAATTTATACTACATTTAATCATAAAAATTAGCAGTAAGTCATTTTGAGAAATTGTATATACTTAGCTTTTAAATCAAATAAAAATTGTATAAATGTATAAAATTTATTTTAAAATAAGTTAACCGCATTTGATATCTATAGATGAATCAATTTTCTAAATTTTGTTTGTTCTTTTTTTTTTATTTTTTTTTTCTTTGTTTTATTATGAAAATTTTCTTTAGTTATTCAAAATCATGAGCATTTTTATACACTTTCATTAATCTGGCAGACTAGCTTGTACATAAATTACTTATGTCAGTAGATACATTTAGATTTATTCAAGTCAACTTTTCAATTACATTTGTCAAGAAACTGAAATTTCTCATATCAAAAATTGTCAAATATACATGAAATGCAGTCCTACGATTAAAAACATAACATTTCAGGGTCTAATGAAATACTGAACTTAGAGGGAAATATTTTGGTTTTATAATTTTGGTTGTTTATTATCAGCTTTATTAAACAAAAAAAAATCCATTTTGTATAGATTATAGAAGCCAACATCGTAATAACAATGAATATGTAAAAGTTGAAATGATTAATGTTTCCTTAGAGTTTTAAATTAATTTATAAATTGGATATTTATTTATACATTTGTAGGGGATTAAGATTGTATATACTTAATGTGAGAGCTGTAATGCTTAGACTACTTTCTTTTCAATCGTTAGTTTAAATTGGCAGAAAGCAAATTACATCTATAGATAGAAATACGATTATATAAATTAAAGAAAACAAAATGAGGTATGTATGTGGCTAGCGTTTCCCGTCATTTTTGATATAATGTTTTTCTCGACTCTCTTTTCCATTTTTCCCTCTCTATAAGTGTTAATTGATGTTCACTTTACCTTAATTTGTAGATACGGCTAAATTCTAGCGTACTTAAAAGATCTTAGTTTTTTTATTTTTTTTATTACTTTTTCTAAAGAAAAACTACTGTATTGTCTTCTCATTTTATATGAATTGTTTTGGATTCATTGTCCAAATTGAGCTCAATGAGAGCGAATATGTTATATGCACATTCCTTTTGTTTTGAAAATATTTGTGTCAGCTATACACCTACGATTTCTCATAAATGAAATTTTTTTTAAAATCATAAATAATCAAAATCATCAATCTGAAATAAAATATTTTAAAAATTTTTTCCACAAAATAATATTTCATATTTTTATTAGTAATTAGTTAATTTAATTTTTTTTTGTAAATAGAGAATTTGAGATAAAATTGAAGCTTTAAAAATCCACCCTTTGATAGTAAAAGATTAAAAATTTGAGTTTACATTATTTACTTGATGTTAGGAATGTACAACTATGCAGCGCAGATTTTAAATTTAGAAGAAGGCGTATCTTAATAGGTGAGATCACCGCCTGGACTGCGCAATGGAGGGGCTGTGGACGGCTGTCATCTACTCCTATGAGCCGGGGTGGTGCCTGAAGACCGCCTCGGCTTGGCTTGACATCATTCCATCTCAATGTTGTCCACAAAATGTGATCTCACTTCTAAGTGAGCAGCAAGGTCTAGAACTAGGTGCTGAAGTGAAGGGTGGTCCAACAAATCTGCTTCGGGTAAGGCTGGCTGGCAGCGTGGCCTCAGCTGCCGACTCTACAAATTGAATTTTGAATTAAATAAAACTCAATATACCAAAATTTGATAAATTCCTAGCATTGTTATAATTGGTTTTACAAATAGAAACAAGACTTTACCTTAAAGGACCGGTGCAAATGAAGAGCTATATCACAGAAAATGTATCGAAGGACTAGAAGTCTAAGGAAATCATCACCAAAAAATTGAAGATAAACAGGATCTAGAACAATATAGAAAATAATATAGACATTTATCCAATTGATATTTCTAGAGGCAAAAATTGTTACCTATTCTACTACGAGTCAATAATCGGCTTGCCTCAGTAACAAACCTATCTATAAACGATTGGCATCGCTCCCAGTGATGTATCGGGACACTTGGGATATTACAAATGTAACAAAATGCTGTGAGCGGGCTGTGGAGGAACATTGTGAAAAGGTTCCCGTTGTGCTGTTGCTCTGTGGACAAAGTATAAATTATTAAATGTTGTCTTGGTTAGTTCATCAAAATTGACAGAAGTGATTTTTTTCTGATGATTGTTTAGATCAGTGGTTCCCAAAGTGGTGCCTACGAACCCTCAGGGGTCCCCGGTATCATTCAGGTGTCCGTGGAAAATTAAAATTGATTTAGGGGCTTTGAACAACGTCAGGGGCTCTACACAAGGTTTAATATAAATTTGGAGATCGTGAGATGCGGTCTGGTATGATGTAGGTTTTAGAAAAACATTTTCTTTATCGTTCCAACATTTCAATCTTTATTGAGATCATCTTCATGGCCTGGATTTATAAACATTGTTTAAATTTTACATGTAGGATGTGAAAAAGAAATGAATTTATATAATGCAAGAAATTTTAGATTCAATCAAAGTATTTGTACTCAGTGTTTGTTTTCTGTGTAGATGTGTCATTCTTGAGTGTCGTGTTGAGAGTTCCAGTGAGTTATTGATGATATTTACACTTTCAACACTACATTCATACAAATAAATCCATTCATACACATAAATACATCCATACAGTACACTCATTCCGTTTGGTCTGTGGAGTACTTGATATTCCTCCATCGACCTAAACTCAAACTAATCTAGATTGGGGTCGATGAAGTACTTTTATAAATATTCCGCCATCGACCCTGAACACACGCTCTTACGCTCTCATCGTTCGAGGGACGATGATGACGTTATCACCCTCACCCCTCGCCATTCACGCTTATAAATACATGCACTCAGACAAAACATATAGACACAGCACATAAGACATATTATATACAATAAAAAACCACAATTTCCCCTAAAAAGCAGAACAGGGCACCCAGAAACCCGCTGCAGTGCTCGACTACCATTTTCAAATTGGTTCATTAGCATATTTGACCAGGTTTTGGAGATTTTAAATGAGATCGTTTTGCATGTAATTATTTTTTTTCTTTACTGTCTTTTTGCCTCAGTGATTTTCTATGGCACAAACACACACACAATAAATATTCATTTATCATCATGATTGGTTGGATGAGGTTATATATGTGATATGTTTTATTTATTGGAACAAATGTATTATTTGCATGAATGGAGAAGCTTATCGACAATCCGAGGAATATCGTGTACTTTGGGGTAGTGTGAATGAATTGTGGTGTATGAATGTAATTTATTAGCGTGAATGAAGCGGCTAACTCCAAATTATTCTGTGGTGTATGAATGTAACTTATTAATATGAATAGAGGGACTCATCCCCAATTACACCGAGGCATATCGAGTGCTCTAAATCGCTAACTAGACCAGTGTTTTTTATTTATGTATGTGTTTGTTATTTGTGTAATTTTATCCTTAATTTACAAGGCCTTGAGGGTCAGAGAGGTTAGAAATAGGATAAAGAAAGAAAGTCAGTTACCGTTATATCATGCAACATATAAAATTGTCTGAAGAAACTTTAAAAGAAATTGTAAAGATCAACACAGGAAAACAGAAAAAGCATTGAGGGAATTGAATTTTAATGTTTGTATATTTACTCTAAATAAAGGTTAAGTTCCAATCTAAGCAGACATGGCTGATCAAAGAGTGCTCACTCATGTGCGAACGTGTCTAACAAGCCCAATGATGTGCGAGGTTCGATCGATTTTTCTTCCTCGCATATTTACACCGGTGATATATAGTTAATGCGTTTGGCTTTATTAGAATACATAGTACGATATTGGCATGCAAGCTCACCATGAAAATTTGGAGGGATATCCTGCGGGGACATTAATATAACCAACGGCTGTCCAAAATATCTTGGAAGATGCTGGAAAACGAAGCTGTTGTCTGAGTCTACTATCACAAAAAACGGTTTTCTCGTAAATGGATAGAGATCTCCCGGATATAAACTGAAACAGTAATAATAATAAAATAACAAATTAAGGGAAAATTTAGCTTTTTTTAAATATGTCTTTAAAAATATACTGACCAGTGCATATCTTTACAGTGAATTCCTTTCTTATTTGAATGATCTTGTTCTCTCTTGCTATTTGTGATAACACCTCCTAAGTCATAGCCCACTATTTGATAGATAAATAATATTAATTATAATACAATAAATTTTTTGTGGATATTTAGACTCACTGTCTTCAGGATGTTTTGTCGAGCTGAAGCAACCGTCAGCAGAGATATACAAAAGTAGTGCTCCATTTGCTGGCAATTCTTTAAACCCTGAAAATATTATTTAATTATTGCAAACAAATGAAAACAGTCAGATTGTACAAACTATGAAAAATTTGATTAAATTATTTAAAGAGCAAATAATTTTTGTTTTAATAGCTTTATTTATTTATTAGCTATGACTAAAACCCAATTTAATAAATAGATAACATCTTCAATAATTTTGAAATATGTAATGTTCATAAAATGGTTTATGTAGAATTAAAAATAAATGACAAAATGCAAATGATGATGAAAAAGAAAAGAAAAGAAACAAACAAAATAAGACAACAATTAATGTGATTAATAAATCCAGGGGTTTGGTTATCTTTTTTTTTTAAATATATGCCTCAACCCTTATGGTGTCGGTGTTTTTGAAAAAAGTCCACTTGTAACTGTCGGGCTTATATGCAGGGCCGCTGGATTCAAAGCCAGGACCTTTACCAATTATGAGTACCATGGCTTGACCATTGTGGCAACCAACGTCCCGATTATCTTTGTGATTTATTAATTTAATGTATTGTTAAAACTAAGAGTTACGGTAAAAAGAATCACAAATTTTTTTTATAGAAACATTTCATTCAATGTTAAGCCCAAATAAGTTATCAATGGATGTAGAATTGGGGTGAAAGAAAGTTTATATATTTTTTAAGTTAAGAAACAAATCATTGTCATGATACCAAGTCCAAGGTTATAGACTTTCAGATCGTTGGCAAAGAGTGAAAAATTAATATGTGGAAAACCAATTATCATTTGTAAGCTTAAAAAAAGAAAGGCCTAAATAGCGAAACTTGAGGAACTCCGGAGGAGACAGAAATGTGCTTCGGAGACTATAAATTTATTATGAATATATATTATGAATTTGACAGCCTGATTTTTACCAGTTAAATAAGAATAAAACCATTTCACAAGAGATCAATGGATTTCCAAAATAAGGAAGTTTGTTAATCAGTTTATCACGGTTGAACAGACTGAAAGGGCTTAGAAAAATCAAGTTTACTTTAGTCCTGAAATAAGATTCAATTTTATTTTTAATGAGAGATTCAAGCAATTGCTTATTTTATAAAATGTGATCTATAAGATAAATTTGAATATCCTGAAACTGAATTTAAGAACATTAGGAAAAGTGCTAATAATTTTATTAGTTATTAAACAAATCTGACTATATTGGAGCTAATGTTACATTATTATATTAAAAGAGGAAGTATTTTATCAGGGCCAGGACATTTTTTTAAAATCTAACTCTTAACATCTCACCCTGAAGTTGTACTAATGACAAATTTACACAATTAATGTTGTAATTGATATTTTATAGTTTCAATAATATTTACGTTTATTAGAAACAAGTATTTATTTGTGTCTCTTGTTTTGGATTCTATTCAGGAGTCAATACAAAATTAATTGTTAATTTTTTTTTAATACTAAGGTAGAACAGAAAAACCATAAAATATGGTCAGCATACCTGAAGCCAAAAACACCATAATTTGACTATATGTTGGTTTATATAGGAGGTATTTATGCGGGTTTTCCCTTTTGGCTGGACGATCACCGTTTTCCTGGCACATGACCATTGCAGGATAACCGACTCCCCCCTTGGCACTTGATACTGAATAGCTTTTTTCCTTTAAAAATAGTAAGATGTTAGGCTATATTTTTTTCCGTTCAAAATATAAAATTTTAACTTACAAAAGGCACTCTGCCAGGGCCAGGCGATTCGTATAAGTGGTTGTAATCCTCCTGAGGTTCCCTTTCTAGAGTCTGGAGCATCCTGAACATATCCATGGTAAGTTCGCTGAACTTTACCTGAAATTTTAAGGTATAAATTTATCGCTTCCTATCCAACGTCGAGAAAACAACTTTTCACCTGGTCAGTACAATTGCCAATAATCACAATTTCTTGTAGTGATAGGTTCATAATCGTCGATTTTTCTACAGGTGGGGTTGTAAGGGGACTCAGCCTGAAAATGCAAAAAGCAAAATTAAATTGCTCATTAAAATAACATTCTAGGTACAGTATGCTTGATCACCTATGAGATAACACTATTGTGTTAGAGTCGGCATGAAGTACGCTTACAATGCCATCAGCCTTAATAAAGCTTTTGATCTCATCAAGAACCAAAGACCACTCCAGTTGATCATCTGGCTCATAAGTGCTAGTATAATCCACAATTTGTTTATCTAATTCCTGCAGAACAAAAAAAACCCACCAAAGATCTGGTTATTTCATGTATTGATATATATGTTTGTTTTGAAATGAAATAATATCATATTGGGTGAAAATTTTGGAATCGATTTATTATTGTTGTTTCTAACTCAATATTTGATTAAAATTTTATTGTATTATAGATGTTTTGACAGTTTATAATTATTACTTTTAGCTAAAAATGTTTTATGCTTGAAATGGTATCATGTTTATTTCTACATTGATTTAAAATCAAATTAAAAGTAAAATATCTTATGTATGAGTATGTCTAGTAAAGTTAAAAACCAAGTTTGTCTACTTACCATAACTAAATCTCTAACTAGTTTCATTTTCTTCAAAAGCAGACAAACGACAATGAACCTTGCATAATATCGTAGTTTCTTCACCATAAGATCAGATCTGTAACGCATAGCACTGTACAGAAACTGGGTTATTCGTTGTACTTGTGAAATATTGGAATTCTACTTGTAAATCATTAAAGTATTAGTTATTACCTGTCTTCTTTCGAAGCCCTTGAATAATACGCTCTACCTCGAATCGCCGAATAAAATGAAAACGCTTCGTTTAAATAATTTGTTTCACTTGTTCTCAAGCTGGAAACAAATAATGAGCGTTATTTACTTTTTCTGGAGTTGGAAAAAGGGTTTGGAAAAAGTTGTAATGGTGGGTTATTAAAGAAATGTGTCAGACAGGTCGTGTAAGAGGAACATGCTGTTCACAAGTTATAAAGAAAAGTTTATATGAGAGATGCATGGGTGGGAATATCTATAGCAATAACATGGCCAACTTTTCAAAATGGAACACTGTAAATACCAGGGTATTGCATGGAAACAGAAAACATTTCATTTACAATAATTTTTTTTTAACTTTGGCCAATGGTTTGGATAGAAATTGTGGATGAGTGAGGTATATAAGTGGAAAATAAATCTTACTAGTAGTGATAATAGAGCTGACCAATTTTTGACGCTATTTCTCCTATTTGCCACCTTTTGAGACCGTACTTTGTATCTAGAATTTGTCTGAAACAAAACGTTAAAAATTGAGTCGGCATGTTAACGACTGGCGAACCCTCGTCGTACCTATGTTGCTGTTGAAATTTCCACAATTTAGTATAAACGTCAAAAGTCCTTCCGAAATATGTTTGCCATTGTTTATGACCATACTGAGGAAGATCCCTGCAAATAAGTAGTCTTAAGAGTGAGTGTTCCAGGGCGATTTAGAGAGAGATAGAGGGAGTAAATTAGGTGTTGAAAAAAAAATGTTTTGAAAGGTCTAGGATAGAGTCGGGCTAGGCTGGCGTGCCGGAAAAGCCGATTTCCGCTCCTGGGCGCTTATTAGCGTTATTTTTTTTTCCACAAAACGCCCGCATCATCTTTAATATGTTTGTGAAATGTTTATATCAGGGATGTATACTGTAGTAATAATATTTTTATTATTAATGTAATTACAAAGTGCAAATTTTGAATTTTTTTATTGCCTTGGGAAAGTGATAATAAAAAGGAATGTATTGCCAGCTTAAACAAAGCGACTAAGGGGAAAGCACAGTAAAGGGAAAACTCACCGTAGACCATTGAACAGGTTTTTAGATTTGTCAAGAAGATGGCAAAATTCTACAACAATTTTTCTTTCATGGTCATCCATGGCGGCCATTTTGACCACCATTTCTAATTTTATATTGTTTGAAACATAAAGAATGCTACCGAATTTGCCTTGTGGCCACTAACCGACCATGATAACACTGCCGTCGCATTACATGGCCCTAACACGAATGCTGTCTCTGAGAGGGTGGTCGGGAATCATACCTCCCGATTTCGCCCGAACGCACTGGGCGAAAGCATATCCCCGGATGAAAGTGTCCTGTGGTCTAACTAGTCACTGCCTGTCCGGGATCGGCGACAAAAAAACTTCGCAACGAGAACGTGTCGACTGGGAGGGTTCTCTAGTGTACTGTATTGATTGGCATTTTGAATGAGGCCTTCGAAGCTCCCGGTTCCTTCGTCCACCCCCCGCCAGCAAGCGCTACGGCCACAACCCCCAAAACTGCTGCCACCCCCGCTGTTTGCCTCCCACGCACGGGAGACCACAACTTCGATTATTTTACAACAGAATCGTCGGAAAGGCAGCGATTTATATATCTAACAAAAATTCTATAATTTAAATAAAATCTAATTTATTTTTCATATTTAAAACGTGTAGTGTAGCGTTTTGCAATGATTGCACCTTAACTATCTCCTTGGCGGTGTTCTGTATCGTTCGAACACCGCTCTAATACTATTTTACTCTAAAAATGTAAAAAAAACCTTAATCTTAAGTTGCCCAGTATTATTGGAATGTGCTGAAAATGTGCAATTACTGCCAAAGTGGACTTACTCGATTGTTTCTGTCATAGTTTCTATAATAGATTATTTTTTAAATTGTACCTTTTCTGATTGAAACAATAGACCATCTAAAGGTTTCTAATATACCAGATTATTAAGGACGTAAAATAATTCACTATTTTTCGTAGTCCGCTTGGCCAATTTATATCATTCAATTAATTCAGGTTTTTAGTGGAGATAAGAAAGTCAGTGTCACGAGCGGGATTCGAACCCAGGACCTTCGGCTTGATACGCCGCTTCTCCACCACTTGAACTATCGTGACTTCGATCCACTCGGACACTAACTTCCCATCCATTGAAAAATGGCAAAAATGAGGGAAAATTCAAAAGGTGGGGGTTGAGTTGGGAAATTAGTGGCCGAGTAGATCGAAATAACGATAGCTCAAGTGGTAGAGTAGCGGCGTATCAAGCCGAAGGTCGTGGGTTCGAATCCCGCTCGTGACACTGACTTATCCCAACTAAAAACCTTAATTAATTGAATGACATAAAATAATGTTGAAAATGTTCGCAGCTTTGTCCGTTAAATTTTACCTGATCTGATAGAAACAGTAGACCATCTAAAGGTTGCTTAAAACAAATGTTTTATCCGTCAAATTAACCCTTTCTAAGGGGAAAGAATTAAAAAACTATAGAAGGAATGAAATTTAAGAATCTAAAATAAATTTCCTGCATTTGAAAAAATCAACACATAAAATAAAATCATAAATGCTACACTCCAGTGTGTCAGATTAAGTAAAATATGGAAGGATATCGTTCCAAGGTGACATCAGGTCTGTTGTATGAAATGAGCATTTGTATATCCAACTGAGATTTGTCATTACGGTTACTGAGTACGGAAAACTTTGAATCCTGAAGCCTTTCAGCACATCCTGCATAGTGAGCTTTCAAAACTTTCAAGAAGAACCGGAAGTTTTGACAGGATGTCTAACGTTCCTTTAAAAATTTCCAATAATTGAATACAACCAGATTCAAGCCTTATAAAAAACTAGGGTCGAGGTAAGTGAAATGGTTTCTGCAGACATTTTTTGTTATGTGTTACAACAGCACTAGAGCGCTAGCAACATTTTAACCTTATAATTTTTCATTATAAGAGTATAACAACAATTGAAAACCAAGCACAAAAACCAAAAACATTAATTAAACCCCAAACATAATACTATGCACTTTCCTCACTGGGGAAAAATCGCGCGGACATTGGCGTTCATAGAAGATTGTGGGAAGTGTTAGGGATGAAAGGTGTTGGACATGTTAGGGAGGTAATCTAGGGTTTTATGGAGTCTTCTAATTTGAATTCTTTCGGTTTAGAGGACAAATGGGATTTGATGGTCTGTGTGGATACGAAGACGGGTGTTTGGTCAATGGTTCGAAGGGTTTTTGACTGGAGTGACTGGATTCTTCTTCAACCTCTCAGTTCAATTCAGTACGGTGTAGTTGTAGTAGTTAGATGATGCGTTTTGATCTGGTCTTTTAAGTAGTTCATATTGTCCGTTCAGTCCTATTCTTTTGAGTCGAATAAGGGAGTTTCGAAGTAGGTCTTTTATCGATATTAAGTTTCAAATAGCAGACGAATTGGTTGCTGGATGGGAGAGGAACGGAGTAGTTGATTGGAGGAGAGGTGAAACGGTGAAGGATGAAGATTATTTCCTTTGAATCTAACCTTCCAGTTCTTAAACCATTTTCCGAACAGGAGAGATGGTCCGGGAGGTTTTTCAGGCCATTGCTCGGTCTGAGATAGCTGAAAGGAAGATATTATCAACCACACAGTTGAGAACTGTATCAGGGTTGATAACAATGCCTTGATAACAATGATGGGACAAAGAATGCTGCCTCTTAGTGGAGGAGTCTTATTCCTACGTGAAAGTACGTATCGAACAAAAATAATTTTAGGATACGGTTTAATATTAGCCAGATAGAAGGTTTGCGCTTCACCTCATGCCTGTCCGAGCTTCCTTCTGTGAAATGGATGATTTCATTTAAGGATTATTTCTACCATTTAACTGCACTGTTAAATGGTAGAGTCAAAGGGTGAATGACAGAGAAGGAAATCTTAAAACGTATACTACAATAGTACAGATCTACCGTTCTTTAAAGGTAGGTTAGATCAAGTTTGCCGATGGAATTGACACCTTGTTCATTATATGCGTTTTGTCGTATAGTTTATTTACTATACTGCACTTTTGGCCCAAGTATTAAAGCATTAATCAAGTATTACATTATATTAAAGGATGGAATTAGTTTAATTTAGGTTAGATCATCATAAAGATGTTGCAGAGTGACTAAACCATGTTGGTCATTGTATTTATTTAACGATATTTTCTAATACTCAGTGTTTATTATTAATTAAACAATTGCATATTGGGTCTGACTCAATAGAAGGAGGTGAGCTGCAGAATAAAGCAAGGCTGCCCATTGAGCCCGCTTCTAATCTCCCTACAATTCAATGACTTAGAGGAAGAGTTGCAATGTGGAGTTAAGATTGGAAACACTAACATTAATTCCTAATTTATGCGGATGATCTAGTGCTCGAAAATCCGGGATATTTACAAATAAATATCGGAGTATTCGAGCAATACTGCAAAAAGTTGGAGATTGGGTAAACTTGGAAAAGATCAAAATAATGATTTTACAGACGATTTTTCAGATGAAGAGGGAGGAGGTCCTCTGCTATGTGGAGTGGAACCAATGGGAAGATGAGGATATCTCTCATTTTATTTTACATTTCCCACATCCTTACGGAGTTCTGTTGGTAAACCATGGGATAACCCTTTCTTTCTAAGAATGTAGCGATCCGGATATTGCGAGATGGCGTCGACGACTAGTTATGCCTGTCTAAATAACGCAGGCTGCCTGGAGATACATGCTTTCCCGTATACTCGGTCGTCCTAAAAAGAACAATAAGGATCTTTAACGTCCGCACCTAGCCTATTCGGCCTTATCGGTCGTTTTGATTCTCAAGATGAGAGCTGACGCACATCCTCATACGACAGAATGGTATTACTGCCGCAGCATTGGTGAAGAGGCAGCTCAGCCCCGAAGGTCCAAGCCAACCCCGTTCTCCGCTTGCCCATTCCGAGTAGTCCGGTCTGCATTAAGCATCAGACCGTATGCCGCGCGCGTAGAGCTACCTAAACCGAAATACATCAGCCTGGTCTCCCGCGCACTCCCTAGATAGAGAAGGCTTCTCTATCTCTCAGAGTATTGGAGCTTCTCTAGTGTCGAAACTACTGGATCCGCTCCGGCCGCGGTTTTGTTTAAAATGGAATTGCTAACCACCCTCTAGAGGAGTACCGCCTACGGTAAAATTATACTCGAATAGGAACAACCGATTCACTACCTGTTCCATCCGCCACTCGCATTCGAGGGACTTTTCAGCATAATGAAGGTAGTGAATCGTTTATGCAGCCAGGATCTGGTACCCTAACCCTCGTGTGCCTCTGATAAGGCACCCGCCGCCCCGACACGAGTACAGCTTGTGCTTTAGAGAGGTTGCCACGCCCTCTGGGCTACACCTTTATTTTGCGCCCGGACACCCTCCTTGTAACCAAGGGTTGGGAGGGGTCACAGGAAAAAGTGAAGGAACCTGGATTGAGAGAGGGACGTGGATGAGGACACAAGGTGCCCCTTTTCAAGGCCCCGAGCCTTAACCACATTATACTACCCGCCGTCGATGTAGTTCCACATTGCCTGGAGATACAGGAAGTATCTCATTAATTAATTCAATTTTTGAACGTGGAAAAAAGAAAGAATTTTGTTTATTTTTCTTGCTTCCAAAACTCTGGCTGACAGTTTTAACCTCCATGTCATATAAAATTTATCAAACGTACAAATAATTCATATACAATAAATTTCTGTTTGTTTTGCCTTAACAATTACATATTAAAAAAACGTACTATGTTTGTAATGCTTCCATCTTAGCTTTGAACTCAACATAAAAAGACCAATGAATAATCGATATTAGGGGTATATTCGACACATTTTTAAAAATCTGAATCCTTTTCTCCAATTGTATTCTTAGGACCTTAGGACTATGGGCATTCGAATTCCATAGGCTTTTTTATCGATTTATTTCAATCACGTCGGAGATCATCAGCTAAAATAGTTGATCACACCAATGACCTCTTAGAATGTCAATTCTTGAACGGCTGAGTTGCTTATTGATTTAGTGACACCTGTTTTTGTTAGATGATCTGAACCGTCCTTGATAATCGCGGTCGTAAAGCAGCGAGATTAGACGGACCATAAATTTTTGGGTTGTTTATGTACATTTGACTTAAATTTTAATGCTTTGCTTTTACTTAATTCTTTAGTTTTTAACTTCCTTTTTAAACTGCTGTCCTAAATTTCAAGTTTCAAATTTGAACCTTGGGACTATTTGATTAATTTCTCTTCAAAAAGCTGGCTCGACAATTAATAATAATAAAAAAGAAAAGCAATAATAAAATAAACATCTTTCCATAATGGATAATCTTTTTAGAAAAAGTACTGATTAAACATGCTTCAGCCCTAAAATTGGACTCAATCGTTACACGGAACTTTATAAAGTTCGTTTCGGAAAGTTTGTGAAACTTAACCCTTTAAAACTTGCCGTACAAATTAAAAAAAAAGGAAAGCTTGTAA